GGCAAAGGAAGTAAGGGGAAGGATGAAAGAAGACCAGTGGCAGGTGGGCCCAGCTGTAAAATTCACAGAGGACCGCAGAGTTGATATAACTCCGTGAGTGCCAGAGTAGGCAACTTTGAGCAGAAAGAATTAATTATTCCTCTATTTTTATGCCCAGGAAGTGTTAAAGGAAATATAGCTCCAGGCAAGCAGTTAATTAGAGCTAAATGGTTCACTCATTCTACAGTGAATGTAAAAATAGATGGATTTTAGGGTTTAGGGATTCTTGCTTTTAATGCAGACAGATACTAAGATTGAGTTATTCCATCACTCCCATATATTAATGGTAAACTCAACTACTTCTAACTACCAATAGGCACAATAATATTTCCAACACGCAAATGGAGAGAATATACTTTTTAAAAAGATTCAATAAGTGTACTTTCAGGAAAAATTGAATTAAAAAAAAAATTTTTTTTGAGACAGAGTCTCGCTCTGTTCACCCAGGCTGGAGTGCAGGGCGCCGATCCTCGGTCACTGCAGAGCTCCGCCTCCCGGTTGTTCACGCCGTTCTCCTGCCTCAGCCTCCGAGTAGCTGGGATACAGGCCGCCCGCGCACACGCCCAGCTAATTTTTTTTTTTTTTCTTTTTTGTATTTTAGTATGAGATGGGGTTTTTACCGTGTTAGCCAGATGGTCTCGATCTCCTGGACCTCGTTGAATCCACCCACTTCGCCTCCAAAGTGCTGGTATTAACAGGCGTGAGCCACCGTGTCGCCAAAAAAAAACATTTTTTTAAATATAGTGTCTTCACTTGTCACCAGGCTGGAATGCCAGTGTGTGATTACAAGCTCCAACGCAGCCTTAACTCCTGGGATCAGTTGATTCTCCCCATCTCAGCCTCCCAAGTAGACGGACATACAGAGGTGGCACAAACCATACCAGAAAATTTTTTATTTTTTAGTTTGTAGGAGATGGGAGCCTCATTATTTTTCCCCCAGGGTGGTCATTGAAACTCTGGGCTCAAGTGATTTTCCCACTTCGGCTCCTAAAGTGCGGATTAAGCATGAGTCCTTGACATACGCCTAAAAATGGCATTTTTAAAATTTAAGCGATTTCCCACTTTATTGATAAAAGAAGTAAGACAGTGTAGGAACTGAACACTCCAGGAAATTAGATGTACAAGAGCGGCATTTATAAAAACACAAACAGAATGGGACTTTCTAGAGACAGCCTCTTCTCGCTTTGAACCTTGCTTCTCTCGATGTACCAGCAAAATCCAGTTGGGCACAAATTCATTGCCAGTTTGACACTACTTTTTATATTTAGGTGATGTTTCTAGAGTTCCACTTCATATATAGACAAGAGGTTAAGTTTACCCATGGGCGTAAATTAAGGTAAGAATCAGTTCATAAAATTAGGAGGCCTATTTGCCTTCCACAGTGAGTTGTTTCTGTTCATTTGTCCCCATAACAATTGACAAGAAAACTAGAGGAGATGAGAGAAAAAGAGAGCAATTGATCCTGTCCTCATGTAGCACAGTCCAGTTAACCCATTAGAACAACGTGGAGGAGGCTTTTAAATATAGTATTTCCCAGGCTCCAATCTTAGTTATCAGATCCAGGGGACAGGAACTTAGTAACAGCATTTAAAAATCTCTCCCAAGTTTTCTGATATGTAGCCAGGGTTGAGATCCATTGGCTTAGCCACCCACAATTTGATTTTTCTAATGAATATACAGAACATTAATACAGGATCCACCAAAAACTATTCTTAAAATATTTGGTCCCAATGCCTTTACTTTACAGTATAAAAGTCCTCGCTTACAAATAATATCCCGATTCTCAATTTTTTACATTTAAATTAAATGTCTCAAGTAACCCAAACAAAAACTGTGACAGATTCCAGTATGCAATATTCATATAGACAGGGATGATACATTTCAAATTCAGAGGCAAAATATTTATCGTCTGACCATACAAATCATCAGGATTGTTAAAAATTTACACTAAAGAATGTGAACTTGCACACAAGTTGCCAATAATCTTGAATGATCTTAAAAACTCAAGGCTTGTCAAAAGACTACTTATTCTGCTAGAGCTCATGGTTAGACGACAATAACATAAATTTTCTCTCTTCTAAGTTGTATTACTGAAGGAATAAACAAAATTTAATTTGCTAACTCTTTGGAGTTTCAATACTATACAGAATATTCTAGAATATCAATTAAAAAATGATTTTACCATACTGAAGTGTGCAATACTTGATAAACAGATGGTTCAAGGTTACAAATTTATTAACTTGTAGGGCTGCCAGATAAAACAGAAGACATTCAGCAAAATTGGAATTTCAGATGAACAACAAAT